GTTTCCATAGATAACCATCCTTTAGCAAGTCCGAGAGCACCAACACAGCAGACTACAGGGAATCACAAGGAGACGACAAGCGTTACAGAGACTTCCCCCCAATCCCTGGGACTGAACGCACAAACACCACCATGTACACTCACTCTATGTGAGGACCTTCAAGGAAAAAGGGCATATGGAGTGTTTTCCATTACTGCTGCTGTGTCTGCGGGCTCATAGGCAGGGAGTCTAGATATGACAATTAAAGGCGGGTCAACTGTATCATGAGAAAACAAGGCTACCGAGCTGTCTGGCTGCGGATAGATGTGTGGGTTAAGAACAGCCAATTATGATATAACTTAGAGAAATAGGAGATAACAAAACGACGTATTCAAGTCTCTGCTGAATACTATCTCCTTATAAAAATGGTGAAATGAATTTCTTGAAATAGAAAGCAACTATTTATCAATGGCCAGTGGGGGGTGGGGGGTGATTTTTTAATCACGTACCACATTAAGTATCTTGGCACACTAAAATATCATGTTTAACATGGTGTCTGGACTTATGAGTGGATACTAGGTTAAAAATGTGTACCTCAATATTAAAAAGATAGATTAAGTATATATATACTATTCACATTTGAAAATATTTAAAGACTTTTGTTCTTTGTCTATCATTTATGGATTATATTTTTGCTGAATCTACTGAAATACCCTTCCATACATATTGCAGAACTGCGAAGCCATTCTGTAAGGCAGCATGTATACTGATTTCTCTCACTTAAGCTGAGGTTGGCAAAAAATAGAATGAAGACATTCCCCACACGAGCCCTCTCTCCTTTTACACAGAATCCATTTCTAGTCTACCTTGGAAAGAAGAAAAGCAGAAGTGTTCATATTACCTCATCATCTTGATCTGACTCTGCCTCCTTTGGGTCCAAGATGCAATGCAGAGACAAGGAATATTATAACGGACAGCAGGGAAAAGAATATCAGGATATGAAAAGGACCGAGTAGGGAGCACAAAACGCAAGCTGATTTAGAAAGCAAAGCAAATGAAAAGAAGCCAAAAAAAAAAATATCAAGAACTATACATCCACAGCAAATTGTGACATCATTGAACGCATAAACACCACAAAACAAAAAAATCTGTGAACTTCCAGTGGAAGCCGAAGCACTCAACAGAGGACTGCATCAGACGATCCATAGGAATCGACACCACGATAACAAAGCTCAGTCTATACACGGACACGCATAAACCCAAGTTTAAATAAGAGCCGTCATCAGTGACAAAGCATTCCTTCACATCGGCAAGGCCAGGGAGAGTTAACACAAACCAGTCTCAACAGATACCTTTTTATGTGCCGGCAGAGTGATGTTTAAGTTGCAGACAGCTGTCTGAGGCAATCCTTTCGTTGTCTTTGCTTCTTTCAGAAAAGACAAACGACCACAGGGCTCTTGGCTGGTGTCTCTAATCTAGAAGAATGTGGAGGGTTGAAGGTTTATAGCAAAATACTCTCTGAAGCTTACTCTCTCCACCAGGGTCAGGCCTGTTTGTTTTAGAAAGCCCATCAAAGGGCAGGAATGATACTGGGAAAAGGTGGTAATAGCAATTACATGTCAAGTAGGGTGGTCACATTCACTTGGCAAGATGTGGAATGCCCAACTCTTGGCCTAAACATAGGCTCATGCTGTCTGCTTGTCTAATCCTGACAATTTGTTCTGGATTCTGGGTTTTAGCTATTTTCTTCCTGTCTAATGATTTCTTTTGCTCATAGCCTAGTAGAGAGAGAGTTTTAGTAACAAAATCAACAGCAAATAATGACAAAAAGAATAGTAATGATGATAATAACTAACAAGAGTGCATTTTCCTGTTACCTGAAGTGAAAGCTTGCCCTCGACTATTCTTGGGCTCCACTGAATATGAACCAAATACTAAATTTTGATTTCACTCATTGCTTGATTACTGAGGATTATCTAGTTATGAGATACATGTTATTATTCTACTTTGACTCTACAAACTTTAATTCAACCATCAAAATTTATTATGTTTTTAAAAGCTAACACCTGTTTTGCCTAATCATAACATTTTGCTGACTAGAAAGTTCATCGGGGTAGAAATGGACAAAACGTGACCTTGTTCTCAGGAGTTCAGGCTGGGCGGACTACAGCACTAAAGCCTGTTTCTAATTCTTTCAGCACATTGGGAAAAAAAGGCACAGAGCCTTGTTTGATGATGACTTACTTTGATGGAAAATGGCAGTCTGTTTTCTTTGAAAGAATAAAAGTTAAAAACAAGTTGATGTCCTCCTCTGGTGAGTGGGGCCAGGTTTCCATAGCAATCAACATAAATAGGCTTTCCTTCCAGAACCTTTTAGAGCAAATGAAATACACAGTTGATTTGAATTTGTGTTAGAACATTTTGGAGCTTGTGAGTCACATAAAAATAAAAGGTCGACATGTTTCTATGTGGCATTTATTAGACAATTACTTCTGTGGTGCTGCTTGCTACCAAAAAGCCTAACTCTACTGGCGCGCAATTCCCCAGCTGTGAATGGAAGGCATCCCAGGCACATGTACAAAGCAGAATTCTACACGGCTCTTTCTGATCGGTTCAGATATGTTGCAGAGAGGACCTGACCTCAATCGCTTATTCCTACAGATTTGGAAAGAATTTTATCTTTATTTTTCACTGCTAGATACTTACTTGTGTAGGCAGGTTAGTATTTCTTGTGCAAAATAAAATGGTGGAAATGCATCTAGATGGTGACTATGAAAATAGCTCAGTCACAGAAAAAAACAGAGATTATCAGGATGATTCATTTGTACCACGTGTCAAACAACATCACCCCAAAGACACAAAATAATGTGAGGCTGAACTTAGACTGCATTTTGACACAAAGAGTAAAATCAGTAATGTATCTGATATTTATAGTGAGTGCTAGTACGGTCTCAAAATAGAACCCCCTACCTGCAGGATTTAATGAAAAGAACTTGTTTTTGTGAACAAGGTACCTCGATATCTTTGCTTCTTGCAACTTCCTCAAAATTCTCTTGCTGTTCCAAGGGCTTGTCCACTTTGTCATCTGTCATACAGAAACACCGCAGGGAGGATTCCACAGGGTCGTTCATTTTGGCAAAAACAACAAACTTGGCCATGTAGGGAACGCATATTAATTCCCTGTACAACTGCGTGGCTAATCCAACAGTTTCTAAAACCTGATGGCAGTCTGCCAGCCAAAACCTGACAAAAACAAAGCAGAATGAAAGTGAGATGATTTTAAAGTCAAATCTTCAATAAGTTCACAATTAAAAAAAAATTAAGGTGTATATAAGCAAATAACCAAATATGACTTAACTCACTCGTGTAAAAGCAAAAAAAATGCTTATTCTATTTGTCAAACACAGACCCCTAGTGTATATTTAATTATAGTTTTGCTAAGGAGTTTTTTTCTTTACACTTTCCTCCTCCATATATTTTTTGTCCCTTTCTTACACATGATAAATGCTCCTATCTCTACTTTTTTTTTAACCATTTTATTGGGGGCTCATACCACTTTTATCACAATCCATACATACATCCATTGTGTCAAGCACATTTGTACAGTTTTTGCCATCGTCATTCTCAAAACATTTGCGTTCTACTTGAGCCCTTGGTATCAACTCATTTTTTCCGCTCCCTCCCCAACCCACCCTACCTCATGAACCCTTGATAATTTATAAATTATTATCTTGTCATGTCTTACACAGTTCCGACATCTCCCTCACCCACTTTTCTGTTGTCTGTCCCCCAGGGAGGGGGTTATATGTAGATCCTGGTAATTGATTCCCCTTTTCTACCCCACCTTCCCTCCACCCTCCCAGTATCGCCACTCTCACCACTGGTCCCGATTCCCTCAACACTATCCTAGATTCCCTGTGATCCTGTTCCTATCTGTACCAGTGTACATCGTCTGCTCTAGCCGGATTTGTAAGGTAGAATTGGGATCATGATAGTGGGGGGAGGAAGCATTAAAGAACTAGAGGAAAGTTGTATGTCTCATTGTTTAGCAACAAGGCACCCTGACTGGCTCATCTCCTCCCCGCTACTCTTCTGTAAGGGGATGTCCAGTTGCCTACAGATGGGCGTTGCGTCCCCACTCCGCACTCCCCCTCATTCACAATGCTATGACTTTTTGTTCTTTGGTGCCTGATACCTGATCCCTTCGACACTTTGTGATCACACAGGCTGGTGTGCTTCTTCCATGTGGGCTTTGTTCCTTCTCAGCTAGATGGCCGCTTGTTTATCTTCAAGCCTTTAAGAGCCCAGACACTCTCTTGGTAGCTGGACATCATCAGCTTTCTTCACATTTGCTTATGCACCCGCTTTGTCTTCAGCCATTGTGTCGGGAAGGTGAGCATCATGGAATGCCAGTTTAATAGAACAAAATGTTCTTGCATTGAGGGAGTACTTAAGTGGAGACCCAATGTCCATCTGCTACCTTAATACTAAACCTATAAATTATATGCACATAGATCTATTTCCCAATCATCATATATAAATGTATGTACATATGTACATGCCTGTATTTAGACCTCTATAAATACCCTTTGCCTCCTAGTTCTTACTCTATTTCTTTTTACTTTCTTTCCTCTTGTCCCACTATCATGGTCAGCTTTCATTTGGGTTTCAGTAATTCCTCTCGGTTACACTGCCCTTGATCAAGCCCTACCAGGCCTCCTACACCCTCCTCACCACTGATTTTGGATCAGTTGTTGTTCCATTGTCCCTGGGTTTGTTAACACCACTTCCTTTCCCTGACCGGCCCCTCTCCCATGTTCCCCCAGAACCATCGGTCCCGCTGTTTTCTCCTCCAGATTGTTTATCCAGCCTAGCCTGTCTACATAGACCTGTTCTCTACTTTTTACATGTTGAATTTATGGCTTTACCATTAGAAGGAGTGAGGATTTTAGGTGGAGGAGTGGGAGAGAAAGGAAAACCCTACAATTTTATGAATGGCTTAGAATTTCCTGTTGGAAGGAACAGGTCAAGTACCTTAGATCTTAAGAATTGGATAAAATGGCTTGTATTAAAAAGTGAAACTTTTAAATTAGAACCCACTTCATTAAAAGGAGGGGGAAAACCATACTTGCATTGCACACAATGATTTTTTTACTTTTTAAAAGATAATAAAATAAAGTAATCATTGCTTTTGGAATTCCTTATTTCCATACCTGGCTGAAACATTGGTTGTAAAGGAGACGCAATCCTTTATAAATGTCAAAGGAGTAGTTCCGGTGATGTCTTCCCACTGGGCGGGTGAAGTGCCCCCTGCGAGAACAAGAGCAGAGATGGTGGCTTTCTGATGGGAGGTGCCCCTGGTGAGATTCATTATTACCCTGTTTTCCTGTGTCGACAGGTACTAGCAAAACTTCAGCAACTGCAATTGAATGCGTGCGTGGAAAGTGGTTTTCTTCTTGACTCTCCTTCTGTAGTTTTAAACTGGCGTCTATCCTTATATTACTAGACCAAACAATTGCATTTCTGATTATCTGGATGCTAACCAATGGCTTAGCCTTGGGGCAACCACATTTCACAAGTACTTTCATAAGTAGAATGATGTGTCATTTCCACAATACAATTCATGTATATATTAAATATGTCACATTTTTAAAGAAAGTTAACCAGCAGCTCACTTTGTATTGACAGAACCATTGCATTTCCCAGAGGCAAAGACGAAATCAATTCTTAGAATAACCCCTGAAAATTAAACTTATCTTTAAATAAGCTTAGATTATCAGTTAAAACATAGATTAGATTTATCAAGTGGGGATTTGAATTGCAGGTCCTTATCACAGAATGTGTTTTCGTAAACCCTGTGTCTTCAATTCACTGGATTTTGCTGGTGGACAGAGAATTCGTGAAGGTTTTAATTATATCCCAACACTTCACTCCTATTGGTGCTGAATGGGGTCTCCAGAATTTATTGAATGTTCTGGTAGTCTAAAGGGTGTTATTGCTATCTAAACCACAGAGATATCATCTGAATGCTCTAATTGACTCAAGATATCTCCAGCACCTTAAAAGTGGTTTATTACTGTTGAATTTAAGAGCAGAAAGGGTGTGTGTGTGTGTGTGTGTAGCATTACCACATTTTCAGGAGAGTCATGAAACCAGTCACTTAAATAATCCCTTAGAATAGTCAACATTTTGATTCTCTTTCCTAGTCTTCGCGTGTTGACACAAGTGTCTGAAAGGGTTCTGTCTCTGCATGGAATCTCTACAAGTGCGAGCGTCCACAGGAGCACCGCAGTGACTTAAGCACACCTGTAATGCTGCAGAGTAGGCGCAGGTTGGGTGTGGTGTCCCCCTTGTCCCCATTGGCTACACCTTCTCCTGAAGGCGGGGGCACAGGAATGGTCATGGTGATTGGTTTGTGGAATTTCCTCCTCCTTGGTTCCACAGTGACAATTGGGCTAAATGTCGCTTTGTTTCCCAGGATCTTTTTCACCATTTCATCCGGAACAGGCTGGGCCTAGAGATGGAGAAAGAGCTTTTCAATGAGAATGGGTGTGCTTCCTTCATCAGAAAGTTGCCAACAAAACCTTTAGACCCATGGAAAGCATTCAGTAAACTACCTCAACGGCGGCAACTCTGCCCAGGAAAACATTGGGGATTAAGGAACAAAAAGGCATTCAAAGCTTTAAAGGATTTCAATTCTAGTCTAGGAAACATAACTTTTTACTTTGAATTTCGTTGCATTTGGGTAAAACATGGGAGGCAGTGAAGATACTGCTCTGCCGCTGAAGCCTGAAGTGGTCTCTTAACACTTCACTGACTGACTGACTTACAAACTAACTTTCTTCCTAGTTATTTCCCTCATGTAATCAGAAAAAGATATGTAAGGTCTAACTGGCATGAATAAATATAAGACAAGACTTTTCTTGCTAAAATTTACAGTCAGCTTTCCAAACTATATCAACTTCCAAAAGGTTTGGATCTAAACCAATGATTATGACTTATTTAAATCAACCCCAAAGTTTGAGGCATATAAGTTTCATTATTTCTGATTTTTATGTGACATAAATCACACCAAAAATGATCATTTTTAAAGACTGGGATATGTGCTCTTGGATGCTTCCATTGTTTCACCTACTGAGACCAATAACCTATGGTTAAAAATGTTGTCTTTGGTCAGGATCCAAGTGACACTTTGAAATACAAAAACCCTAAGCTACGTACCTTATTTACTAAGTCACTAACTTGGGGCTTCAGCTCATGTGAGCACTTTTCATTTGAAATAGATTAATGATTCTTAAAACTGCCTAATGCATTATTTACCAAAGTCATTAAGAGTGAGTTATGATTAATCCGCCCCCCCCCCCCTAGCAGAGCTGCTGCCTACATAGGGGTCAGGAAACCCTTTGGGGCAGTTACCTGGAGGCCCACTCGAATTCTCTTGGTTAAAGCGCCCTCTGGGAAGGACGCCTGGACAAGGGGCACCGTGGTACTGCTCAGAATGCCCCCTTCAGGGCCGATCTGGTTGCTTTCCTGCTTAATGCGTGAAACCACCGCAAAATACTGGGGGAAATCCTTAGTGATAATCCTGCAGATGCGCTTTTTCCCTAACTCCTCTGGGCTATCAAGTTCTGAAAAGACAAATAAATGAAAGAGCCATGAGAATAACACATTCTGAAGCAAGTGGAGATGTCATTTAGACAATCAAGATGATTTCTATTCAATAGTAGGAGCAGAGTTTTTATAATCAAGAGAAATCTGTAGTGGCTTTAAAGGTGGATAGCAACTTCTCTAAAATATTAAACAGCTTTTCATATGCAGGATTTATAGGCAAGTATTTTCACTGAAGAGAAACAAGTTGGCATTTTACCATTCATGGACACATTTCCACTCATCAATATCTCCCTCTGGATTATTTGTACATCCACCTTCCTTGAAAAAGCTGCGCACAGTAGGAATGAGTCAGAAAGGAGCAGGACCTCACAAGAGGGAAGTATTGGCATCAGTATGTCCGAACGGTTCAAAAACAGAAGTTTGAAACCCTCTGAACACTTCTTACCCCAATGATTGGAATCCCCAACACCCATTTCTGTCTGTCACTGACAGCCCTCCCACAGCAAACTTAATATATTGATGGATGAAACCCTGCCTCCACTCAGTCCATCTCCATAGCTACGTCCTCCCCTGCTGTCCTAACATGCGAGGGCACCACCGTTTGCCCAGGTCCCCGATCTAATAACAGTTCCCCTCAGACTTAATGATGCGTCTAGTTGATTCCCATTTGGCAATAGCACCTTTTCCTGCCACCCAATCAATTCAGACCTTATCCTGGCTTGTCTCGATTGCTAAGACTACCTCTCCGGCCATCTACCCAGCATTCTTTTTCCAGTACTCCAATCTCTCCCTCCCAGGTCACCAGGTAGAATCTCCTTTAAAAGCCAACTTTGACGCAGAATTCTGTCGGTTTATTAACAATGAATGATTTAAAAAATCATACGGAACAATAAATATTCGAATTTCACCCAGAATATTTTGAAAAAGTGGGTTGGTGAGAGAGCATTTGTCACTGAAGATATTGAAACTCATATTCAAAACCTCACTGCTACTGAGCCCATTTGGACCCACGGTGACCTAGTACAGGGTTTCTGAGACTGCCAGTCTTCATGGTCGGAACAGACAGTCTTAGCTTTCTCCCAGAGTCCAGGTGGATTTAACTCACTGACAGTGCAGTTGGCAGCCCAATGCCAGGGCTCCTTTAAAACACACTTCGGAGAACCACAATATAACTATGGTGCCTGTATAAGCAGAGGATTAAGGATAAAGAATCCAGAAAGACATTCAAGTTTAATCTTATCTACACACAGACATACATATGCACTCGATTTCACACGCACACACACGATCTATGTAAGTCATGATATATACTTTTTATATATGTTATGTATCTAAATTAATCTGTATGAATTAGATTCACATATTTGAATTTTAAGTCACTGGAGAAAAGACAGTTTCTTTGAAAGAGGGTATTGAGGTAACTGAAAGTCTCTTTGAAAAAAAACCAAAGCTCAATCACTACCTCTTGCCATAAATACTTAAAATTCCATTGGACAAAAAGCCTAGCTACTTTAAATACCGAAACAACTCCAGAAAACGTGGGGGACTGTGCCTTTGGTAGGAGAGATTTTTCTGACGTACAACTGGTAAGCCAACTACCCAGGCTGGGGCTTCTAGAGTCTAAACCAGAAAACTGCCACCGAATTCTCCTGCCAACCAGAAGAAAGAGTAAACTAGAAGCTCTCCTCACAGGCAGTCTGCAGCCACCAGAGGGCGTGAGGCATCTTCCAAAAGATGCAGAGGACTGCGTATTTCTCAGCAGTTTCCGGATTGATGCTGCAGGTATGAGCCCATATAAAGAGCTGCTCTACTTCCTGAAAATGAATAGAAATGGGTTGGGAGGAATCGCCGCATTGTTCACTCAGTGTGGCCTGGCCACATACACATCGAACAGCTTTTAGTAAGTCCCTGAAGCCACCCCAGAGCTGACGTGCTCAAGCGCATCTAGATGCAGCAGAGGAGCAGTCAACGGAGAAGCTTCAGAGCTCTAAGGGCACAACCGAGAAGATGCCAAGGGCACACGCTATACCCAATTTCTGACAGCTGTTAGGATTTGCTGGTCCTGTTTTATCTTTACTTTTTGTTTTTAGGACACCGATTAGCAATTTCTCTCCTAACATTCAACTTGTCTAATGCTGACTGTCAGTGTTTATTTACCAAGTATTTTGAAGATATGCCTCAAACTAACCAGTGTGAATTTCAGGCACTGCAGTAGGGAGTCAGTTTCAGCTGTAGCAGCTCTACAGGGCAGGGAGGAGCCGTCCAGTGTGGTTCCGATTCTGTACCGCTACAGGAGTGGACTGCCTGGTCTATCTGCCCAGAGGACTGGGGTTCGCGAACCGCTGACTTTGTCACTAGTGGCTCTACATGTAACCACGCTGCCACCAGAAAGCCCACAGTGGGGAAGTGTGGTAAAGTAGGGTTCCCGTGTGCCAGTCTCCACATAAATTATTCATGCACAACATTCTTAAACTACACAGATGCTCACTCCTCTGCATGATGAAACTGAGAACCTCTAACTCCACTTCACCGGGTCACATGCTTTTCACTCTGGAGAAAGACCAGGCTTGCTGCCCCTTGTCCTTGGAAGACGGCGGGGCAGCTCTACTCCGTCCACAGGGTCATGTCAGTCGGGACGGACTCAGAAGTCGAGAGTTTGGTGTCGGATCCTTTCGACACGTGAGCCTAAAATACCTGTAACTCCCTGCCCCGCCCCCCGAAAAACACATACATAAAAGGAGAGTTGATCGAAGAATTACAGTTACTCCAGAATACCTGTATAAGTAAGAAGTTCTATAGACAGTAGGTCAAGGTGAGAAGCAAGAGGCATAATGAAATTCTTATGAGTAAAAAATCCTATCACGGGGACTTACTGACCAGCAACAGAAAAGATGTTAAATAAATTATTATATATTCATACTATAGAATACTGTACAATATTAAAAAGCAAAGGGTCCCGTGTATTTGTTCCAGTATATAAAGCTCTCCAAGACATATTAAGCATTTATATATATAACCTCATTATCAATTAACAAACCTTAACGTGTACATATATAAATTCTGAGAAATAATTCAGTAATAGTGGGCGTTAAAGGGAAGAAGGAAGCATGAACTGTTATAATGAATTTATAAACAGCAGGTGCCTCTCAGGAGGCCCCCGCGGCATGGTAACTATACTTCATGGGGTTTTCAGTGGCTGACTTCTCAGATCACCTTTTTTAAAATTCGAGGTGTCCCTGGTTGACTTGACTCTTTAGCTTAGTACCAGGCATGGGAAGGGGAGCCACCGGCGCAGTGGTCATGCGTTGGGGCTGCGATCCGCAAGGTCAGCAGTTGGTAATCACCAGCCGCTCCTCAGGAGAAAGACAGGATTTCTACTCCCATAAAAGCTCCAGTTGGACACTCAAGGGGCAGTTCCACCCTGTCCTGCAGGGTTGCTACGGGTTGGCATCGATTCAATGGCAGTGAGTTTGGTATTTTTGATTCGAGGCATATTAACAACACGTACCACTAGTACAGTGATACAAAGAAGAAACAATCCGAGCATTTTCACGTACGGTCAACTTGAACACACTTTCCAGATTTCTTGCCTTTGAAAAAGAAGCTGAGATACAACAATGAAATGCTCAAATGCTTGAAAACAGGCAACACAAGGCCCCACTGGCTGGAGAAGGATGCGGGACGGGGCGAAGGGAGGGTCTGGGTACTCATGCCACTTGGAAGCCTAATCTGCAGCCACATTACGTAGCATCATGGGCACCCTCCTCCAAGGCTTCGGATTCCAAGGAAAATTTTAATATGTATTAAAATTAGGGTCACCCTGCCCCCGATAAACTATGAAGTAACTAAGTTAAATTCTATTAAATTATATTATGCTTGGTATTACAGCCTGACACAGAACAGGGACTCAATAAGTGTCCACTGCATAAAGAAATAAACCAGGAATTCATGAGACTCACGTGCTTTCCATGACAGATATTTGTGTCACTCTCTAAGTTTTGCTTGAAAATAAATGTAGCACTTATATCGAATAGTTTCTTTTTCATTCTTTTCAAAAGAAAAATGGCAGTTGAGATAGGAGCACACATCTTCTAATCTTTAATCTACTTTCTCCTTTTTTATTTAAGAAAATTGAAATACATGACTTCCACTTCTTTCCCCTCCAGTCCCGGGTTACCTTTGAAGACTGTTTCTCTCTATGGGTAAACCTTCGGTTGACTTTTAAAAAAAAATCATTTTATTGAGGGCTCGTACAATTTTTATCACAATCCATACATCCATCCATTGTGTCAAGCACATTTGTACATTTCTTTCCATCATCCTTCTCAAAACATTTCCTTTCTACTTGAGCCCTTAATATCAGCTCCTCATTTTTCCCCTCCCTCCCCACCCACCTCTCTCATGAACCCTTCATAATTCATAAATTATTATTATTTTGTCATATTTTACACTGTCCGATATCTCCCTTCACCCACTTTTCTGTTGTCCATCCCCCAGGGAGGGGGTTATATGTAGATCCTTGTAATCGGTTCCCCCTTTCTACCCCACCTTCCTTCCACCCTCCCGGTATCGCCACTCTCACCACTGGTCCTGAAGGGATCATCTGTCTTGGGTTCCCTGTGTTTCCAGTTCCTATTTGTACCACTGTGCATCCTCTGGCCTAGCCAGATTTGTAAGGTAGAATTGGGATCATGATAATGGGGGGAGGAAGCATTAAAGAACGAGAGAAAGTTGTATGTTTCATCGTTGCTATACTGCACTCTGACTGGCTCATCTCCTCTCTGCAAGCCTTCAGTAAGGGGATGCCCCATTGCCTACAGATGGGCTTTGGTTCTCCAATCTGCACTCACCCTCATTCACAATGATATGTCTTTTTGTTCTTTGATGCCTGATACCTGATCACACGTGGTCACACAGGCTGGTGTGCTTCTTCCATGTGGGCTTTGTTGCTTCTGAGCTAGATGACCGCTGGTTTATCTTCAAGCCTTTAAGAGCCCAGACACTATATCTTTTGATA